ATGTGTGTGTGTGTGTGTGTGTGTGTGTGTGTATGCGCGCGCGCGTTGTTTATTTTCTTCCATATTTGTTTTCCTATTCGTTTTCCTGTCCTATTTCTGTTCTTACCACTTCCCCACTTATGTACTGTTGTTTCAAGATAGATAGATGCATTAAATTTTACGTATACTGTACAACATGAACCCCTACCATCAAAATACGTGTAATTCCTAATGTTATTATGCTGAAAAGTCATCTCCAATCGCACACACAAATGACGATGGAATTGTAAATAGATTACAATTTCAGCATTACAAAATTACAACAAACGATCATTTGTTCTATTTAATTAATATTAATATTGCTCCAACCTCCCCCCCCCCCCTCCTTTCCCCTTTCCAAACAAATTTCTCCCAAACAGACAACCCCACAGGCTCTCCTCCTGAAATAGCCCCGCCCCCAGGAATGGATTTTGACATTGTACGTAACACAAGTACCTCCGATGATGACAAAGTGTGTGTAGCACTGACATGCACCTATAAATACGACAAAAAGTCCACTCAAATCTCATACCTCGAAGTTGCCTACAAGCCCCCTGGAGAAACAAACATAGTGTATCAAACTCAAGTTATGTTCTTCGGGGCATCTAAACCCATTCATGTTTCGAAGGAATTCGTCATTTCTTCTTCAAGTGGAATTTCGAGTCCAGAAGACGGCATAATTCAGATTTCGGCGTCTTTTAAGGCGAAAAACAGCAGCAGCACCACCACCACTACCACCACCAGCAGCAGCAACGCAACGAAGTGCTTGCGTCTCACCTCCAGTTCGTTCAAATGCAAAGCAAGAACAACTTCACAGGGAAAAGACTCTTTTGTCAGTTACACCAAAAAGCCATTTGTCAGCCCACAACTCCCCGCCTCCCCTCCCCACAATCAAAACACGACGTCGATGACGTCACAAGATCTGACTAACCTTAACACTAAACTGACTCAGATCATGGACACAGTTAAAACTTTGCTGAACAATCAGAACCGTATCATGACCTCGGACGAAGCCCGTGACGAAATTATCTCGCCGCTAGGGGGCGGAATTGAGCAGATTCATTCAACACTGGACGGATTGTCCCAAAAACTGGAGACATGTTCTTCGCAGACTGCGAATGTGCAAAGCCTTCTGACGTCACAGGCTTCAACGCAAGATGGCAGTTCCGGTTCTAGTGAGAGACGGGACTGTCCTGGGCAGGGCTTTTCTGTCAGACGGGTATAAATCTGCTCACCTTCTTTGGCAGTTGTTAAGTTGCCTTCTCCTTCTTCTTCTTCTTCTTCTTCTTCTTCTTCTTCTTCTTCTTCTTCTTCTTCT